AGGTTCCAATGCCTCCGTTCTTCCATCCCACCCCGTTGCGATCAGACAGGCGCGGTCTGACACCCCTTTTCGCTCCGAATCGTCCGATGACAACCCGTTAACGCCTAGAAACGATTCGGGGCCTTTGGCCTTTGATGGTAGAGCTGGCATGCCATGATTGCCCGAGGGATGTCCATGTTGAACAGCTCAGCTTGGATACCTTCCAACTTGCACCTCTACATATAAAGTGCTATCACTTATTCTATTCAAATCATTCTCATTATCTTTCCCTGCAGGAGTTTTTGTGTCGCCGGTTAAATTCTATGCTGCTGTCTCGCTATTGCACCGCTGCTCTTATTCACCTTTTCGAGACACGTCATCAGCCGCCTACATATACCCCATCGTTGCGCACCCCATTTGCTGTTTCTTATTGTACTCGCCCACATCATCCTGGCTTCAGTCTTTGGTCGAGAAGATTGGGTCTATCTAGCGCATTGCATTTTTATCATAACATTCAGCGTTTTCGCATTGTGACAAGCTCTTCGAACCATGTACCTCCTCCTTCCCCGGCTTAGGCGCTTGGCATCGTTTTCTCGCCTTCAGAACTATATTGGACGATCATGCCCAAGTTTGGTGCTTTTTATTGCAGGTTGGTTCACTTKGCTTCATTCATATCACCTACTCGCTTAGCGTTGAGCATGCACATATGCAGCTTCAGGGAGGATTAGTATGTAGTTTGCCTGGGTCGCAGCTGCAGACAGCCTCTCAGTCATTAACTGTGCAACCAGTAAGCCTTTCCTCTTTGTTCATCAACAAGACGCATGCCCATCATTAGACGTCATCTTTGGCCCAGATGAACCAACGCCATTGCAGTAGTGTGTACCCCGCCCTAGCCAGTTGGCTGTTAGGTCCAGATCGCCCGTGTCTGTGCTTGATTAATGGCTGCCCCTCCTCCATCTCAAATGTACTGACGATCATTACTCTATACACATTTGCCATGACAAGGTGCAATCTCCAACCATCTATATAAGGATTATTCTCGTCACCTCACAAACTACAATTCAATTGAGCCGCAATATCAGACTAGTAATCTCTGGGCTTGCCAGATTTAGACTCGTGTATCCGTAGTTCTGAGTCTGTTCGAACTTCGTTGACCGCCAGATTGTCTGAAACGGCCGCCCCTCCTGCACGCTAATTATCCTCATGTTTACTTGTTTGTTTTGATAAACAATTCTTGCAGTGGTCAACGATTTTGTTTTCCGTGTAGAGATCAATACAAAAATGAGAGTCAGTACGAGCGACCCTCCCTCTCCGACGCTGGAACGCCAGAACGGCACTACGTTCAGCTTTCGGCGCGAGGGCGCGCATCATCATCGGACGGGGACGCATCCGCATCTACTCTCGAGTCGGAGGAAGCCGAGGAGGTATGTATTCTTTCATTGCATTATTTCTTGCAATTGGTCGATGTTGAGTTGTTTAGATGGCCGTTAGTTTTCCGGTTCATCAAGGGTGCCATCCACGGTGCGATTCTGGTGCCGGTGTGCCTGCATGCGCTGTTTACGGCGTTAGTGGTCTACCTGGACGGGTATGTTTTTGATACAGTCGGTCTGCCGAACAGCATTGTATGTTATTCTAGTCTCATGAGTCGCGTTGTGCGAGTGTTCTGCTGATGACAATTCTAGATTCCGTCTCTCTCTATCGTCGTGGGTTTGATGCTCGTGTTCCGCAATCAGACATCCTACAATAGATTCTGGGACGGTCGCAACGGCATGAACACAATTACGACCTGTGTACGCAACCTTGTCCGTACGATTGTCACAAACGGCTACAGTGAGCGCGGCCCTCCCACCGCCGCTGAACAGCAGGACATCGAGCGGACAATCCGTGTGCTCATGGCGATTCCCTATGCTGTCAAGAACCACCTTCGCGATGAATGGGGTGCGGCATGGGCTTTGGGAAGTGATGTCAATGAGAATGGTGCCGCGGTGTATGACCCTGACTACGCCAGCCTCCTTCCCGTGGGCCTGGAGGGTCATGAGCATGACGGGCTGGGTCTGCCTTTCCAATTGACATTCTTTGTGGATGGGTTTATCAAACGAGGCGTGGAACGGGGGTGGTTCAATGCTCCCGGAGCGAGTCAGATGCAAGCCCAGCTGAACACGTTGACAGATGCGTATGGGAGGATGGAAACCATCAAATTGACTCCCATACCTGTCGCTCATTTGTGAGTACTCTCTCACCTTGTTGAAATCGCTTGCATGATGCTGATCGCACGAGCAGAATCCATCAAAAGCAAGTCCTCGCGCTGTTCGGATGTGTGCTCCCATTCGCCATGGTCGATGATATGGGATGGTGGGCCGTCCCGATAGTCAGTCTTGTGATCTTCACCTTGTACGGCATTGAGGGCATTGGCTGTCAACTCGAAGATCCTTTTGGATATGACCGAAACGACATCAAGATGGATGCCATTGTTGGAGATGCCAAGATCGAAATCGGTGCTGTGCTTTCAGAGTGGCGGAAACGTATGGCTTCCATTCAGGCAAATCATCCGCCTGTGGTTGGGAATGGCGTTACCCAGGAAAGGAAAGCTAGCTTTGCGCCTCCAGATATGTTCTTGAGGGCTGCCCCGAGTGTATCGAGGCAGTGATTAGGCTGCACCTCCACATACCCTGCAATACCCTTGTTGTCCATATTTTGCTTTTATGCATTCCGTATGTTCATAAACGTGATTTTATGATGCGCAACGCGCTGAGACCCCTCACATGACGGGCCATCCTCTCTGAGTACACAGTTGCAATTTAGTAATATCTGTATCCTTCATGTAGCAGCTGGGCTTCTCTGTGGAGAGAGGTCAGTATTTGATGTGGTACCGTCTCGGCTGGTTCCGAGATCCACAACATTCAGTGATGGGATACTTCGGTCTTCTGCAGCCATTCTGGATCAATTGGAACATATACCGAAACGTCCCACCGATGGGCCTGGGGTACTTCAGTGAGTGGATGGATGACAAACCACTTGGCGCGCGGGCTGGAAGAGGTAGCGTAGGTGAGAGTAAGACTATTTCCACCAACGAGAGAAACTGCGCTCAAACCGGATGGACAATAGCTTGGTTACTTTTTAAGGATGACCTCCGCCCATAATCCTCCACAGGCAGGTGAAACTCTGATTTGCGCAAGTACCTCGGTAGGCGCAATATCCTGGCAAGCGGCAACGCCAGTACGCAATTATATATGCATGAATAACCACCGCAAGCTTCAAAAGACATCATAAACTCCGAGCTACACATTCCAAAAATGACAATGAATAACCAACCCGTTGTCATAGTAGGCGCCGGACTAGCAGGCCTGGTAGCGGCCTACGAGCTCTCAAACCGCAATATCCGGTCCATCATTGTGGACCAGGAAAACGAAGCCAATCTAGGCGGACAAGCATTCTGGTCCCTTGGAGGAATCTTCTGCGTAAACTCAAGTAACCAGCGCCGATACGGCATCCGCGACAGTCGAGAGCTAGCCATGGAGGATTGGTTCAACAGCGCAGCATTCGACCGCGAAACGGATCATTGGCCGAGAAAGTGGGCAGAAGCATTCGTTAACTTTGCGACAGATCATATGGAGTCATACCTCAATGCTTTGGGCGTGAGGTTCGTCAGTGTGGGCTGGGCTGAACGGGGCAGTGGGCAGGCTGGCGGCCATGGCAACTCCGTCCCGCGATTTCATCTCACATGGGGAACAGGGCCGGCGATCGTCGAGGCATTTGCTGGTCCGGTGAAAGAAGCAGCGAAGAAAGGCCTGGTTGAGTTTCGTTTCCGGCATCAGGTTGATGAAATTGTCGTTGATGCTGAGACAGGAGCTGCGGTGGGTGTTCGTGGGCAGGTGCTGGAACCGACAGACGTCGAGCGAGGCGTTGCTTCTTCGCGGAAGAGCATTGATACCTTTGAGCTTCGGGGAGCTGCGGTGCTTGTCTCCTCAGGTGGCATTGGCGGGAACCTGGATTTGGTAAAGAAATACTGGCCGGTGGATCGCTTGGGTCCTAAGGTGCCGCAGTCTTTCGTCCTGGGGGTTCCTGCGCATGTTGATGGGCGCATGATCGATATCTCCCAGAAAGCTGGAGCCAGTGTGGTCAACAGTGACCGGATGTGGCATTACACTGAGGGATTAACCAACTGGAACCCGATCTGGCCGAAGCATGGGATTCGAGTCATTCCTGGACCATCGTCTCTGTGGCTTGATGCTACAGGAAAGCGGCTGCCTCCGTTTTTGTATCCCGGCTGCGATACACTTGCTACTCTACGGCATATATGCTCGACGGGGTATGATTATACCTGGTTTGTCTTGAACAAAACTATCATCGCTCGTGAATTCGCCCTCTCTGGGTCAGAACAGAACCCGGATATTACCGGCAAAAGTATTCTTCTTCTACTCCAGCGGATATTTGGCTCCAACGGCACTGGCCCTGTACAGGCCTTCATGAAGAATGGAGAAGATTTCATCGTGGAGACGTCTCTGGATGAGCTACTTGAGAGAATGGACAACCTCGGACAAAAACATGGAGGTCCTCCTCTGGATACGGACCAAGTTAAACGAGAAATTGAGCTCCGTGACGCACAGATAGATAACAGTTACAGCAAAGACGCGCAGTTGATGCTAATCCAGAATGCGCGCAACTTCTGGCCTGATAAATTCAGCAGAGTGGTCAAACCTCACAAGCTCCTAGACCAGAGCTACGGACCCTTGATTGCCGTCAGAATGAACCTCCTCACCAGAAAGACTCTCGGTGGAATAGAGACAGACTTGAGCGCCAATGTTCTCCGTCCGGACGGGACTCGCTTCACGAACCTATACGCCGCTGGCGAAGTTGCAGGCTTCGGAGGAGGAGGCGTGCATGGCTACAATTCCCTGGAGGGCACATTTCTGGGGGGCTGCATTTTCTCAGGACGAGCTGCAGGCATTGCCATGGCCGAAAACCTGGCGAAGGCCCCTACGACACAGTCCTCGTGAGCTGTATTTCAGTTGTCTGTCGATTCATAATGGAGGCTCCAGTGCAAGGACACCTTCCAGTATGGAATCCGGACTGGCTTGAGCAAGGATTTTAGTCACGGCCTGTATGTCGCTCCCGTATTGCAAACTTCTATCATCTTCAGGTTCTGCTAAGACAATCCGATGGCGGAAGGCTTTTCTTGCCGCCAAAGCCACAATCGAGGGTGTCAAATAGTCAATCCCGTGTAATGTTGCGAGTAGTCTGTCATGATTGATTCAGTATACTCTCCAAGGTAAACAAATCAGCTGGACGTACTTCGAGAGTTTTGTAAACTGCATGTTTGATCGTGCTGTGATGCCCCCAGCAACAGCGCGACTTAATCGCAAGAATACAACAATATCCTGCTGATACCGTGTTATGTCTGCACCCACTGAGACCGAGGCGCTTAGGTGTTGTATTTGGTCAAGTAACTTTGAACCAATTCATTAGCAGGTGGTCAATCCGGAGGTTAAAGGAAAGCACACCTTTTGGTCAACTGCTAGACTCTTCTTTAACTGAGCATCCGATTTACGGACCACAGACGAGGCTGACAACTGTCCATCTGAGAGCCAGTCGGTATTTTCTTCTAGGTGAACATAGCCATCCGTAGGGTCATGAAAGTGAGAGAGAATGAGGTGGTCATTCTAGCTGCACGTCAGTAGATAGCGGACATCTATTGCGCAAATGAAGACACGCACCAGGTGATGATTCAAGCGAGGGTGAAGCTGGTCCGAGCTGCGGATTACAAGAGGTACGAAGAGGAAGTCAGGCGGAGCTTCAATCAAGCCATGATTTGTGTTCAACCGTTTGGAGCGCATCAACTGTCGATGATTGAGCAAAGCATCGTCGTGATGGTCAAGAAATCCTACCTCCAAGGCATGAAGTTGTATATCCCCGTCAACATAATTGAAGTTCTTGGCGATAACGACATCGACGACTTTCTTGTCCCCAGAGACATTGCGGAAACCAGGCGACCTCGTACGATCTCTTGGCTCTATGGTATTGTGATGGATTGACAACTAGAAGGATTAGTCGTAGTCGTGTAGTCAAAGTTGTGGCTATCATCATACAGATTCAGCCCCCTTACGCGGGCGTGAGTACGGCGCAATTGCCTTGGATACATCCGACACTAGAATTTCAGGGACTAGAATTTCGGAGTAGAAATCCTCCAAGGAGGTAGCCGACGAGCATTCCAGAATTTTACACGTGCGGCTGAAGACACTCGAGCATATCTATGAAAGTATTAGCGGCTTGCTGAGCAAGGAGCGAACTATCAGTGTACAAAATTACCAGGGCCAGCTCTTTTGCAACGTCATGGATGCAGTCGCTTGTTGTCTCAATGAGACAATGTTCATGAACAGCAAGAGATAGTAGAAGCGCAACTTCAAGATCTGAAAGATCAGAAACAAGGCTGCTTATGTCTTCTTTATCATCCATGATGATTGACTTCTGGAGCCATGGTGTTGACGCTATTCGAAGCAGAATAATGGGTTACGGCTTGATGAAAGATAACAAGGTGTAATGGCACGTAATGATGCCTAAGGTATGGCTGACCCTATCGGGATTAGCGCCGGAGTAGGACCCCATGTCGACCTTTGGGATAGGAAGGCAACCGACCGCGGTCAATCAGTCCAAGCCCATTACTGCATTGGACTGATACGTGGCTCTGCACTGTGTATCTTTCATAAATGAATATAATTAAGCACAATTAATGGCGCCGTCAAATCCTCTTGCGAATTGGGAGCGACTTGGGGACAGTTTTTACAGGAAAGTCTCCGTGTATGACGCTATCTTTGACGAGGATGTGGACTTGGACAACTACATTGTCGCCGGCGCGCCATATGGAGGAGCTATTGGTACGTTACAAGCGTGGTTTAATCTGTCTCAATGACTGATGAGATGCATAGCCCTTCATCGCGACGAAAGCAAGCCGTACATGTTTCGCGATGCTCATACAGCTAGATCAAGCATTGACATCTATTCGTGCTCTGGAAAGCACATAAATCGCATCAATGTAAGCTTCTTGCCATATAACCAAGCAAAGCTAAAGGCTGCGATGTTGGTGTACTCATGCTAATCTTGTAGTGGGAACATGGGACGATTCGAGGGCTCGGCTGGTCCGAAAAAGAAGAGTTGCTAGTAATCACAGAAGATGGAACAGTCCGCAGATATTTCGGCTTGTATGGTGACTTTACATCCTTTTCTCTAGGAAACGTGAGTCAGTATAATTATATAGCAGAGCCATGAATGCTAACCTTATCTGGCAGGGAGCTGAAGAATATGGCGTAAGAGCATGCAAGTTCTGGAACAACGGCTTTGTCGCTCTGCTCTCAAATAACCAACTGATTGCTGTCTCAAACTATGATGAGCCGCGACCCAAGCTGCTAGCACCGTGCCCAGAGGGCGAAGTTTCTTCTTGGTCTTTGATTCCGCCACCATATACCCTTTCTCGTTCAGTGGAGGTGCTACTGGCAGTCGACAAGACTATATTTTTGATTGATTCCACAGAAGCAGAAGACAAAGTGCTTCAGAATGGACCTTTCAAGCATGCAAGTGTATCACCTACTGGTCGATTCGTGGCCCTTTACACCGCCGAGGGTCAGGTCTGGGTAGTGAGCAGTGATTTTCAGAGCAAACACACCGAATATGACCCGCAATCTCGAGTGACTCCTCGTACCGTCGACTGGTGTGGTGATGACGCTGTTGTCATTGCATGGGAGGATGAGATACATCTCATCGGCMCCAATGGCGCTGCTGCTAAGTAAGTCGTCTTCTTTGATTTCACTGTCTGCGCAAACTTACCATGTGAAGGTATTACTACGACGGCACTGTGCATGTGATACCCGAATGTGACGGAGTCCGATTGATCACGAATGATAACTGCGAGTTCTTACACAAAGTTACAGGTAAGAGGAGCACGATTTGCGGCATAGCGACGGCTAACAACTAGGCTCTGTACAGATGTCACTGAAGCCATCTTCAGGCTTGGTTCCACAAGCCCAGCTTCGGTCCTTCTGGATTCGGTAGACCTCTTGGAGAAAAAGTCGCCCAAGGCTGACGAAAACATACAACGCATTCGCTCCAGTTTACCAGAAGCGGTAGATGCGTGTGTCAAGGCTGCGGGTCATGAATTTGATGTCTATTGGCAGAAGAGGCTGCTGAAAGCTGCTTCCTATGGGAAGTCTGTCTTGGATCTGTACAACAGCGATGAGTTCGTCGAAATGACGGAGAAACTTCGAGTGCTGAAAGCAGTGAGGGACTACCAAATAGGGCTGCCCATTTCTTATGAGCAATATCTGCGACTCACACCCGAGAAACTCATCGAACGCCTGGTTAACCGACATGAATATCTGCTTTCTATCCGAATATCCGAATATCTCCAGATTCCAGCAGACAGGATCTATGTTCACTGGGCCAGCCAGAAGGTCAAGGTATCTACAGTTGACGACGAAGCCGTGTGCAAACTCATTGTGCAGAAATTGGAAGGCAAGCCCGGAATATCCTTCGAGCAGATTGCTCAAGCTGCATACGACGAAGGACGCGCTCACCTGGCCACGCAGCTTCTGAACCACGAACCCCGGGGTGGTAAGCAAGTTCCGCTGCTGCTGAGAATGGAAGAAGATGAAGTCGCCCTGGACAAGGCGATCGAGAGTGGAGATGATGATCTTATCATCTATGTACTTTTGCACTTGAAGAGCAAACTCCCTCTCGCCAGCTTCTTTAGGATGATCAACAGCCGACCCATCGCCTCGGCATTGGTCGAAGCGAATGCTCGAGGGGAAGATACAGAGTTGCTGAAAGATCTATTCTACCAGGATGACCGACCTATTGATGGTTCAAATGTCCTCCTATCGGAGGCACTGGATGCGACAGACTTACCGCATACAACTGAGAAGCTCCTTCTCGCATCTAAGCTATTATCGGATTCTAAGGATGCAACGGCGGTTCTACAACAGAAACTGCTCTCTGAAGCGTCACAACTACTCAAGGTCCAAGAGGCTTTGGACAAAGACATCGCAGATCGCTCAGAGTTTGTCGGCCTCAGCTTAAATGATACTATCTACAGACTGATCAAATCGGGCTACGGAAAACGAGCGCATAAGATTCAGAGCGAGTTCAGGATGTCGGACAAGACTTATTGGTGGTTGCGATTAAGAGCCCTGGTCGCTAAGAGAGACTGGGGTGAATTGGAAGAGATGGCCAAGAAGAGATCCCCGATTGGGTGGGAGGTAAGTAAAACACTACCCACGTCCTGATATTTCATTAAACACATACTCACATACAGCGTGATAGCCTTTCTATAATGAAGTTCTAGGTGCTGGCAACACCAAGCTTGCTTCTCTTTTTATTCCGAAATGCACCAATCTGCCCGTCGACGAGAGGATTGAAATGTGGGTGAAATGTGGAATGATCGTAAAAGCCGGAGAGGAAGCCCACAGAGCAAAAGACGTCAATGCTCTTGAACTCCTTCGGGCGAAAGCTTCGGGACCAGCCGTTGCTGAAATTGAGCGAATGATCAATCAGCTCAGACCTAGGAGATAGCTGACTAGAGATATTCATTGTCTTATTCCATCGAATCTCTCAAGTAATGTCATCGTCAACGTCGATGTCGGCATGATCATCTGCCACAGGATTCTGCGTGACCTTCGCCGGCTTTGATGTCCGCTTTTTGGTTTCCGGCGCACCAGAAACATCAACCATGGCATCATCGAGATGGCTATCGTCATCCCGCTCTTGAAGAGCTTCGAACATGGACCCAGATACATTGCGATTTAAAGCTTCCCAATCAGACTGAACGACACATGTCAGCGTTAGCATTCTTACAAAATAGACGAGGAACCTTCATACCCTGCGTGCTTTGACATTTTTAGCCCGCGAGACACTCTTAGCTACCTTCTTCTCCAGCTGAGAGTAGACAATTTCAGCTCTTTCCATGCCCTTCTGTTGTCTCAGGCGCTGTGCTCTTGTTTTGGCTTTGGCCTTTGATTTTTTTGAAACCCCAGCATTGGCGCGTTCATTCAGAACAGATTCTCGCTGTATGACAGTGTTTTCGGCTCGTGGCAGTGAAGTCAACGACTTGTCGACGTCGAGACTTGGGGAAGCCGCCCGCCGAGCAGCGCGAGAATGTATCGACTTGGCTATAATTCACAGTGATGTTAGCATCAAAGCGTGCATTCTCTCGTAGTTTCGTCGTAGAGAACTTACGCTTCGCTTTGGCCATTTTATGTTTATTGTTTATGATACTTGAAATGAGAAATGAAAAAATAGTCAGGATAAAGTTGTTGATGTGGGTGGATAAGCCGCTTATCGATAGAAGAAAAGTTCCGGTGACCGGCAGAGACCGCAACCGCAGCCCGCGGCTTCTTTTACAGAGGCTGACGCGAGCTGGCGTAAGACAATCCTTGTCCCATGCAGATGCAACGCACCTTCACCTTCCCTTCTCACTTGATGCTCCGAAAGCCTCTATGCTGTCGTACTTCTTTTCTTCTGGTTAGCCATGAATGCTCGAAGAGGGGGATTCGACATCCTCACTCAGAGTCCTTTACATAAACCTCAAAATAGCCAGCATGAGACGTTTTTGCAGCGGTTGCAGAGTAATAATAACACTCTGACCTACGGAGTTGCGGCAGGCCTTTTGGCTTATTTTGTCTTAAATTACTTCGGAGTTGCGCCGATTTCGATACCACGAGCTCTGTGGAACCTCATAGTCTATTTGACACCGTCTCGAATAGTTGTTGCCCTGGATTCGAAGACATCGAAACTAGATTCAACTGACAAGGACCTTCTTTCCATGAACTTTCAAGCGAAGAGCGAAGCAATGCAACGTATCCTTGGACTCGATAACTCCTCCCTCTCCTCCTTCCTTCCTTGTTCTACGACCTTTTCAGGATTCGGTACCGCATTACTTGGCGCTAAGGACAATCTGCCCCCGGGGCTCGGAAACTGGGACAATTCATGCTACCAAAATAGCATCATTCAGGGTCTAGCATCTCTGCGCTCGCTTGCGGAGTTTTTGGAGCGCAATATCCGGACATTAGGGGGTAAAGGATCCTTTTCGACTCATCAGGCTCTTAAAGGCGTCATCGAGCGGTTAAACAATGCTGATAATCATGATCAGCGGCTGTGGATTCCGGCGGAGCTCAAATCGATGAGCAGTTGGCAACAGCAGGATGCGCAGGAATATTTTTCCAAAGTTGTGGGTCAGGTCGATCACGAGGTGCAGCAGGCTACGAAACGCCGGACGAGGAATTTGGGGTTGAAAATGGCAGGGCCAGTCGAGAACATCATCGGAGCGGAATCTTCACATACGGATGGGGATGGCGCAGACGTTTCATCCCCTCGTGCAACTGAACGGCACCCGACTCGCAACCCTCTGGAGGGCCTTCTTGCGCAAAGAGTAGGTTGCATGAAATGCGGCTGGACCGAAGGTCTTTCCC